AATAGAATTTTAAAAAATTGTTAATTTAATTTATTTTAAAGAAATAATGACGCTTCTTAGGGTTAATCGTTGTTGTTGGGCTTGTTTCATGTTTTTGCAGTCGCCACAGGTCTTTGAAGAGGACACACGCATGAGTGCTGATCTAAATAACAGTAATCAATCGGTAACGAGCATGGAGCCTCCACTGACGCCACAAAAGTAAGTTTCCCCCTTGAAAGTGTGATCCTCCCGTTGCTCATTAACTAATTTACTAATCGTGCTGCAGACAACCGGACTTCCTTAACAACGAGGAGTCGCAATCGTCCATGCTGAGCAACGTTAGCCTAATGGACTCCAACCAGGGCCAATCGGTGGATGCGATAATCAGCTCGGCGCTTAAGCGACCCAAGAAGAAGAAGATGGAAATTTGTGTGGCTGAAGAGTAAGTGAACTGAAATTTGAATTCGCAACTCGAAAGTATTCATTCTCATTCATAATCCTTCTCTGTGCCTCTCTTGCAGCACGGAATTCAGTGCGTCAAGCATTGCGGAATATGACTGGCCTCCACCCAAGGGCTGTTGCCCGTCCAAGAATCGTGATACGTTCATGATCCAGGAGCAGGTCGCTCTCTATTTGGGCATCACGAGCTTTAAGCGTAAATATCCCGATTTGCCGCGACGCGCTGTCGATATGGAGGAGCGCAATTGGCTGCAGGAGAAGGGTCTCGTCAGCGAGAAGATGTGCGATCTCGGCATTACGGCCGTCTGGGCATCCGATATACTGGACATTATGTATGCCGATTTCTATGACAAGTACGAGGAGTACAAAGAGTATATTAGGCAAAAGCATCTGCGCGAAATCGAGGCCAAACAGAAGGCGCTCGGCCTCACCGTTGGCACTGGGCGTGGCCTGCAGGCACGCGATCGCGCAATGCTCTCGGCCAGCAAATGGAATGTGTACTTTAATAAAACGTAAGTGCGGATACTTTTTGTAGCACGCAACTTGAGTGAATTTCAACTACTTCGTTTTTGTTGCAGGCGGAAGGAGGAACGTGTCGCCTGTTTGGATCTGCAAACGTTCACCATGAATTTTCCCGTGCAGCACTCAGCAGCCAGCTCTACTGCGTTGCATCGATCTATTACGGACACAGTGCTTGCCGCAGCGCAGGCAGAGAATATGCCAACGCCGCCGCAACTGCTCGGTCCGCGTGCCTACGATGAAGCGTTCCAACAGCCCGATCATGCTTTTTTTCTGGCCCTGGTGCCAGGCCAATTTTCGTCCAGCTATCGAAAGCTAACGCCCGCGGAACTAAGGTAAGAATAAGATGAATTTTCGATTTATGTTTTTTTATTTTTTTATTTGAGAAATTTTAGGTGAATATTTTATTTAACAAGAGGATATATCTGAATAAATATATAGGCTATACCAATTTAGTCTAAATAAATGCAAATCAGAAACTAATTAACTTTTCCTTTTCTGTGCAGAGCTTATCCCCTGAATACTGTCCTCGAGTTGTCGCAACAGCAGCGAGACGAGCAGGAGCAGGATGAGCAACAGCTGCTGCAGGACAGTGTGAAAGCGTCGCTGAGCAAGTTACAGACAGCAGCGGTGCGGCGCAGTCAGCGTTCGCGTCAGCAGCGCAGCAATGATCCGGCCAAACCCAGCAGCCTCTGCTATGCCAGCGCAAGCAGCAGCAGCAGCAGCGGCTCCAGTAGTAGCGAATCTGTAAGTAAACTGGCAAACATACAAATTGTTGTAGCTATAACTAATGCACATTTGAATTGTTTTACAAACAGGACAGCGAAGCGGACAGCGACAGCAGCTGCAGCAGCGCCAGCAGTTACAGCAGCCGCTGCAGCAGCTGCAGCAGTGACAACAGCTCCATAAACACCGCCAGCGAAACTGAGATGATAAAGCAGCGCGAGAAGGATGCACGATTGTCATCGCACAACTGCGGCGTCTGCCAGCGCAGTCAGCATCGGAATGCACGAAATAGGCCCGAGGCATTTATACGCTGCTACAGCTGTCGCCGTAAAGGTAAGATGGTTAGAAATATTGGAGAGTGAATTCAATCTGATCGAACTTTTGCCATTCATCAACATCATCAGTGCATCCTAGCTGCATTGAGATGCCGCAGCGTATGGTCGGACGTGTGCGCAACTACAATTGGCAATGCGCCGAGTGCAAGTGCTGCATCAAATGCCGCAGCAGCCAACAGCCCGGGAAGATGCTCTACTGTGAGCAGTGCGATCGTGGCTATCACATTTACTGCCTGGGTATTAAGACGGTGCCCGAGGGTAAGTCTGGAATTTTTAATGTATGAAGTGTATTAATACTAATTTGGCTATCAATTCTACTTTAGGTCGCTGGAGCTGTGAACGCTGTTCGATTTGTATGCGCTGTGGCGCCACACGGCCCGAGGGACTGCCTCAAGTGCAGCAGCCCGATTTGTTGTCACCCAGTGGCAATGGCAGCCAAGCAAAGCCCGCCGTGAAGCACAAAAAGGTTAAATGGCAGAACGAGTATCGCATCGATCACATCACCAATTTGCGCGAACATTGCGGCATGCTTTGCGTGCCTTGCGCACGCGCCAAGCCCACCAAAAGGATAACGACGCCCAACAGCAGCAGCAGCAATTGTGAACAGTTGCAGCTGCAATTGCAGTCGAATGGTGGCGCTGCAACAATGGAGGCAGCCGCTGCAGCGCTGAGCCCCAGCAATAGCAGCAGCAGCAGTAGCAACAACAACAACAATAATAATCATAATTTTAATAATAGCAAACAGCTGGAGGCTAACGCTGCTGGCAGGCAACGACTGCCAACGCAGCAACAGTTGTTGCTGCATAGAAGCCACGATATGGCGACAATGCATAGCGGCAGCAATGAGGAAGCAACAGCAGCAACAATTATAACAACAACGCCCGCCAGCAACAACAGCAACAACTCCAACTCAGTGGCAGCAGCAGCAACAACAGCAACAGCTACAACTACAGCATCAACACAAGCAGCAGCAGCAGCTGTCACGACAACAGCAACAACAACAATTGGCATAGCTCCACCTCCGGTTGTTGCCTGAGTGGGGGTCATACGTTATTGTGCCAAGCGCACTTTAACGGACTTGTAGTAAAGCGCGGGTCGCAGCCGACCACTCGACCCACCCACCTCCGCCACCGTCGCCACCAACTCCTACTCCACCAAACCCTTCCTAATCCAGCTCCACCCACCACACACCCCCACACACACGTGCATAGTATTAAACAACAAATAATAAGCTAATTTTTGTACATGTCTGCGGGCGTATGTTTATATTACACAATATATATATATAAAT